AATGCCAGTCTTTAATTGTAATAGGTACATGTTCTCGTACCATGGCTCCAACAACAATAGCAAATTTATCGGAGTTACCGACAACTACTTGCCCAAATTCATTGAGTTCAAGTTCTATTTTCTTATAATTATGTTCAGGAACCATCACTTGGGTTGGACCTCTTTTCTTCTTAGGAGCATTTGCATTTGACGGGATGGGTTTTACTCATCGATAATTGGAGTAGATATAGTATTTTCTGCTTCACTAGAAACTCTTAGTCTTTTATTGGTCTATGGAATTGCTACAACAATCGCAGTACTTCGATGTTTAGAACTTTTAGAAGATTTTTTAATTGACTTCTAAGTATACAACATGAATATAAAAGATAAATAAAATTATTTTTGAAACTTAACAAATATCTTACAAGTATAAAGAAACACCATATAAAATATATTGCGTTATCAGCTGGTTCGAAATAAAATCCCTAGAGATAGAATAAAATTTTGCAATGTCAAAAGAAATTAAGGTTAGAGAATTTAACAAATTCAAAATATTCAATATTTCATCACAATATGAATATGTAAAAATATCACATGTTAAAAAAGTAATCTGCAATATCAATTAAAAGCATAATAGTGTCAAGGACATGGCAAAGGTTGCCTCCAGTGCCAAAAGTTTCTGTTGAAGATGGAACTAGAAGGGGCTTATCGAGCATTCGTCTGTGGAATGTGGTTGCTTCAAATATTAAAATTGAGGATTCTATTAGGGAATGGTTTGGAACAAAGAATGCATTTGACAAGATTAGATGCTGTGGTTGTTCAATTGGATCTGTTGATGGCTGCCTCTATGTCTTGGGTGGATTTTGTGGGGCTGCGGCCCTGAACTGCATCTGGCATTATGATCCAATTGTAAATTGTTGGAGTGAAGTGACTCCTATGTCTATTGCCAGAGCATATTGTAAGACTAGTGTCTCGAACAATAAACTTTACGCTGTTGGAGGTGCTACTCGTGGACGAGGTGGATTGAGTCCTCTTCAGTCAGCTGAAGTATTTGATCCTTGCACTTGCATGTGGTCTGAAGTACCAAGCATGCCATATTCAAAAGCTTAGATGTTTTTTTTTTTTTTTTTCCCTTTAGCTTCAATAAGATT